ACCCCAAGACTTATAGAGACTTCTACAAAGTTTTAATTGAATATACCGTGACTTTTATAAACTTTTTAAAAATTTATAAAAGTCTCAATTGAATACACCAATAATTTTAGAGAGTCTTCAAAAGTTTATATTGAATACCTCTAAACTTTTTAAATCCCAAAAAATAATTAAAAGTCTCAATTGAATACACATCCCTAAGAAACTATTTTGGATCTATTTATATAATTTTCTGAAAATATCTTGTCTATTTAGAAGATCTTTTAAAAATTTAGTTAAATGTAATTTTCACAAGGAAAAACCCCCACGTACAGGTGGGGTTTCACAGGGCAGGCCTCTCACAACTCGACGGGCCCCACATGTTTAAAAAAAAAAACCCCAACCCTTCCCCCCTATGTGTCTTGCCTGTAAACCACCCACCCCCCTTTTTCGTTGTCCGTCTAGTATAGCCTTTTTTTCACAAAACACTTCTTTACGAAAAGTGAAGATGAAACCTTTCCAAACGGACCTTTAACAAATAGACATTGGGCTTATTATGTAGAGGACAAACTCAATGCAGCTATCATCATTTCTTCATGAACGTCCAATTCTAAGTAATAGATATTAACTAATTTCATGGACAATTTAGGAATTTCATTTCAAATCATTTATTTTTGGCAAAACAAAATAAAAGTGATATGATCTATAATTTAAATTAATCTAACGATATAGATCTATTTAAACTTTTTATTATGGAGTGTTGGGACGTGGGCACAGAGATTTTAAAAGGTTTTAATAAAATTAGATGATTTGTTTAAATTAATGGTTATGATTATTTGTCAAAATCATTGATAGGAGATGTTCCATAAATATTAACTAGTGTCATGGGCAATTAGGAATTTCATTAAGTATGGCGAAAAAAATAAAGTTTACATGGACTTCTATTGTTTCCTTAAAAATTCGACAGCATTGGAATTTAGGGTGGAAACAAAATTTACAAAATAATTATCATAAAGTCCTGATACGTACATGAAATTGTACTCTTAAAATTAATTAGGATATGTCGATATGATATAGATTAATATTAGTATACGTTTGGCAAATCTTAGAAGTAATATATTTTGGTTCAAAACTTGCTTATTTCAAAATTTCATTAATAAAGTTTTATTTATCTAATTATGAGTAGATGTTTTAAGCTTATTTAATACGAAAAGTTAAACACGTCACAAACAGTGAATCATAAAGCAATATAAGCAAAAATCCATTTGCTATGTATCACACATCGCTCATGGGAAGACTTGCCTTAAGAGTTTACGAGCATTTTGAGTACCATTCCTTGGCAATTCTTTTTCTTTTTGGCTTTTGACCCTCTTAATTTATTTCAATGTCAACTACAATGTAATTCACAATTTAAATTCAAACATTTTTTTTTTTTGAACTATAGTTCGATATTTCTCATCTTCAATCTACCGTGGTCGGTGGTAGGATTTGATACTTGATGTCCGAAATAATAAATGTGACAAAAATTTTGAGTGTGCCTACTGCCTATAACCTAGGCTATTTAGCCCCTGTTTGACACCTATTTTTTTCACATTCTATTTCTCTTTCTGTATTTCAACTACACATTATATTAATAAAATAACATTACACATAAACCCAAAAATTCTCTTTAATTTTTAACCACACAATCTAGGGGTGTAAGAGTTTCCGATTTTTGCGGTTTTTGACAAATTTTCAAATCAAACCGTTTTGACCGGTTTGAGAAAA